CGTAATCAATCATTTATATCAAACAGCGTCGCCACTGATAATTATGATTTTACCTATGAACAAATCCACGATATCTAGACTATACAAAGGCAAATTACAATGAATTTGAAGAATGGAGATGAGTAGGAATTACACGATCAAGATCAAATTTTTAATATGTGATTGACATATTTAGAACTAGCATTAGATATGTACACAATATATCGATGTTAGTTATTATGATAAAATTGAAGAGACCACAAAAGATGAATAAATCTCAGATAGAATGAAAAGGTTAAAATTTCATCTAAATTTCAACTGGTGCATTTTGGCTTCTTGCTGACATTGTTTTACCCCAGACGGAAAATGGCTTGTTCCTATTGAACCAATGGAGTAGCAGAGATTCGGGTTGTCCCAGACCCGAAAACGCTGACCCATTTTCCCATAAAACCATTCAGAGAATTTTATCTCCCCAGTTAGATTGTTTCCATTGAGGTACATTGCACTAACATTAGGCAAAAATGAAAGCTTTGTGGGTATATCCCCTGTGAGTTTGTTATCATGAAGGCCCAAAAATCTGAGTCCCTTTAACTCTGCAAGGGACTCTGGAATTCCACCTATCAAACTCGTATTGGACAGGTCCAATACGGTTAGGCCTATCAGATTAGGCCACCCGAGGTTCCTTAGCTCTCCACCAATTGGATTGTTTGATAGGATTAACTCTTCCAATGAACTCATATCTTCAAACGATTTGGTTAGTCCACCTGAAAATCTGTTGTTACTAAGATCCAATAACGTCAATTTCTTCAAATTTCCAAGCTCGTATGGGATTTTGCCTTCCAGTTGGTTATTGCTTAAATCAAGCTTCAATAGTGAAGTTAACCCTCCAAAACTCGAAGGCAGAGTACCAGATAGTGAATTTTTGCTCATATCAAGAATTAGAAGCTGAATTAGCCCACCAAAACTTTCTGGGATTCTGCCTGTAAACGAGTTTCCAGCAAGATCCAACTGCTTTAAGTTGATTAAGTTGCCAATAGTAGTCGGTATTTCGCCTTTTAATTCATTCTGTATAAGCACTAATGAATGGAGATTCCTGAGGTAACCAAAACTAGCCGGGATTAGTGTAACAAGACCAGGATTTGATCGGAATTCGAGTACCTCCAAGCATCCAGCAAGAGACAGCCAATTCTCAGTAGGAAGTGCAACGGGATGATGATGCGGTGAGATGAAGCATTTGAAGAATGAGAGTGATTTTAGGTGCCTTAGTGAGAATAAATGGGAACTTATAAGTTCCACATCTTGAGCACATTTAAGAGAATTGTCATGAATTGGTCCAATTATCAATTCTGTGACATACCAAAAGCCATCAAATAGGTCACAAGAGACACCCTGTGGAAGATAATGAATTAGATATCACAATCTGGTAATGAAACTAGAGTTGGATATTAGACGAGACAGACGATGGCTCCCTCTAAATTTTGATATGAATTATGTAAAAGATCCTACAAATTTGCATTCCCGCGTTTTCTGATCGTTTTACAACACTTAAAACAACTAAATGATAGGTCAATGAAAATGGCAGGTGACACTAATGTTCAAAAAACATGAGAAAAAACTCATTATAGGAATATGCAGTAGTTTCAAAATGCATAGTATCATATATAATTCTACTGATACAACCATATGGATGTGGATATTTTACCTGTATTGGAGTCCAACCACATGGATCCGGATACAAATCTGATCCATTCCAAGATTTACCCACAAAATCTTGAATAGTAGAATACAGAGCTTCTTGTTCTGTTTTCTTCATTGGAGCTGACACATTTTCATCATCTCCATTGCACCAGACACCCAAACAGAGTATGCAGATAATGAAAACGTAAAATTTCATGGTCGGGAGGATTGGATAGTTCTCGATAGTATTAAAAAAGAAGATTTAGAATAATTTTATCTGGTACTGTGTATATAGCAACAACGCGGATTCAATTCTTTGCATGAAGTGTAGAGCATACCAAGACTTCATCTCAAAAGACTTAGAATAATTTTGAAAGAAAATAATCTATAGGAATCAAGGCAAATATGGGAACTTAATGAAACATGAAAATAGCAAAAAGAAGCACAAACAAAAGGCTGTTTCTGGCTAACTTTTATAGCAAAGCTAAGGTAGTAAAGGAAGTATAGAGTAGCAATTGATAAGAAAGGGACTTTGCAATCTGGCTCTGTTGTAGAGGCTTCTTCAATATTACTTTTCATTAGAGATGATTGTGATTGGTAAACAGATTAAACATCTTTCTTGAATAGAGGGAAAATTAGGTTAGGCACCCAACATTTCCCATGGTATAGTTATGCGTCCAAACTCATTTAAATCGGTAAATCTAAATTGTCACATGACCACAACAGTCAATGTGAACATTAAAATTGCATGCGACTTTCACGTGATTTAAAGTTGAATAGTAAAATTGCCAAGAACTTAACATTCCTCTCTTATTGAACTTAAAGTCACGTGCGAATTTAACATCCATATTAAAGAATTCACATATTTAGCCCTGATTTGACAAAGTTGTTCGAGATTAAAAGTTGATAGATCCCAAGAGATGTATGATTAAAAAGTGGACAAAAATTATAGGTCCAATGAAATACAAAGTTTGGGCAGCTTATAATCTAAAACAAGTTTTGTCAAACAATAGCTTAAATACATGAAGGGTTCAAAATGTCGCTTTTGAAAGCTGGGGAGCCCAATTTTCTCTGAATAAAAAAAATATATTGGGGTGATTCAAAGTGGGTTTATGAGTTGGGGAATTTATGGTTAGGAATTAAAATGGAGATTCATTTAGACTTGTGCTTAGGGTTTCAGGGGGTGGGTGGGGGACCAGTTTGCATGCGAAGTTGAGAGGCTTGTAAGTACATGCAAGACAAAAGTGACTTTGTCTATGGTGGCTTTTCTTACTTTTTCGGCGGTTGGGTTTAAAGGGGAGATGGTTTTGTAGGGTTAAAAAAAAGTGATTTTTAGCCGTGTTCACTTTTCCTACCTAATGAAAAAGTTCAATGAAAAATACGATCCCCATTTAGCTTGAGATTAATATTTTCATATAATTCTTTTGTGGTTTGAAGAAACTTTTAAAAATCATGTTAAATTTAATGAATAGAGATTAAATATCGACGTTCTTGATTTACAAATGTACTTAGGTAAAGATTGTTATACATCCTCGACGATAGATCAATCACCTAACTTGACTATAAATATATTCTATACATTATAAAGTTACAACATTACTTCGCCCCTATTTCACTCCCATAATGTAAAACTCAAAAAAAAATTTTTTTTTTTTGCTCAAATTCATTTTTCAATCATACATTTCACGGGACTACAGCTTCTTTCATCCTTTCAGTCATATATTTTATCAACTTTAATCAAAACCTACTAAAAAAATTATTTTTTATCTAAACCAAATGGGGGCTTCATAGAACTAGAATTAATGATTAAAACATAGATGCATAAATATGTTCATTTAATACGATTGATTGTTCTGTCTAGTTTTATTCACTATTGTTTATTACACATTTATGATATGACACAGTGGTATTGTTACTTTCACTCTGTGATTGTATATCGAAGTCACGTCTGTGTATGAATCTAGACTCGTGACCCAACGTGGTTGGACGGGGGACCAAGAGATAAATGCAAGGAAAATGGTACATAATGAAAGTCGGAAGCTTTTCGAGTGTTAGAATTGGACCACGCTATGCCTATGCTATCAGTCTTGGAGAAAGTAAAGGCCTAGAAAGGATGACCCGAAGAGTCGTTTTCTATCCTTGCACTAATTTGGTCTTCTTCAGAGATGATGGAATTTTGAAGTTCCGTGGTTGTGCGAAAGGATGTGGGGCAACTCTGTTACATGTGCAGAAATTATGTACAGATAGGTTGACAGATGCACGTGTGAACTCTATTACATGTACAGATAGGTTGACATAATTATTTGTGCATGTAGGTTAATTGATGACACTTTGGGATTAGGTTACTTTTGTGTTAGAAGTGATTATTGAGATGAGTAATACATAGTAAATAGACATAATATGTATAAATCCTAGTAAATTGGAGTGATTTGTTCGAACAACAAAGAAGAACAAGTGTCCAATCTGTCATCAACACAACTATTCTATCTAAGCAAAAAGGAGATGAAAACGGATGAAATTAAAAACTACATTAAGCATTATTTCCTTAAGAAAAAAATTATAGTTACATAAGATTGGGATACAATATTACTCGATACCTCATGAAAGAAGGTACTTCCCGAGGCTTAGCAACCACAATACGTGCTGGTCGAGCTTCATGAATCTATTATAGGAACCACTTTGGTGAACCACACAAGGTAATCACTTGCTAGGGATTGAAATAGTTGAATAGATATATGCCTATCAACATTTATTTTTATTTTCCTAGAATTGCCAAAAAAAAAAAATACTAATAGTAGAAATTACACCAAGTACCTCTTTTCCTTTTGAATTTTCAAATTTACATATACCAATTTTTTATTTCACAAATTTTTCTTTTTTGCATAATATATATGTGGGTGTGCAGGAATGATCTAATGAACACTGATTCTCATCTTATATTTGGTGATGTGTCATAAAAATTTATTGGTGAATTTTAAACTTAATTTAAATGTTGAGCCCCACCAAAAATTTATATGACACGTCACCAGCATTTAAAATGAGATGAGTGTTGGTACTCAGTAGATCATTACAAAAAAAAATAAAAATACACACACACACCCATGCACCCAAACGATGCAGAAGCAAAGAGACGTGGGGAAAATAGAAATTCATCACCCCCCCACCCCTTCAAAACCACCACTGCCTCGACATCACCTCCGCCCAGGGGCAGATCTGGGGGGTTCAAGTGCCCCCCCTAGATTTTGAATTTTTTTTTAATAATATATAAAGGAAAAAAAATATTGACAAGTAGTGTAGTTAGGGTTGTATGCAAAAAGAATATAGAGAAGTCCAGTTTTTCCTAAATGATTGATCATTTCATGTACAAAACTTGCCAAATTCATTTACAGAAACAAGACAGACAAAATGGTAAAAAAGGGAAGTAAAATGTTGCAATGTTCACACTATCCACAGGTTATTCCTTGATGTAGAAGTTAAAGAGTCTCATAGCCCTGCAAAATTAGCAAAGAAAGTTAACAACTCAACCAAAAATGTTACAGCATGACAGGAGTAAAAGACATTATTAAGATTTGGGAAAATGCTCCGAAAACATATAATGAATTTCTTATTTAAATACCTGCTCTTTTAAAGCAGAATTTTGCAATAGTGAAGGAAGGTATTAGTAATATAGAGATCCTGCAGATGAATATTGGAGTAAGAATTTTTAGTTCTCACAAATTAGAATTAAACTTAACAAGAAGATGTTTGTATTATTAACTCAGACACCAATCTTACCCTGCCACCAGTTTCTTATGGCATGTATG